GGCGTTAACTTACTTAGTCCCCTGCGATACCACTGAAGATTGGACGACCTCAAAAGCATTTTCAGTAATAAATAGGACGAGGCAAGGTGGTTTACTCGATCCCACCGTCTTCAGTCTCATGCCGATGCACGCTTATCCAGCTGAGGGATATTGAAAAAAACAATCTCACCTATGCAATCTATGGGTAATGCTCCGATTTATATTATGCATACAGAAAAGTACGGGAGTCCATAAGACCAGTATATATGTTTTTTCTGTTCGCGGATGATTGTGCCCAAGAGACTGTAGGAATCTGAGCCTGTCTGCTAGTGTGCTATGGGCGTGAATACATAAACGTCATGCGAGGGGTGGGTCACTGGCCGGTTGATCAACTGCTTGGCCATTAGCAGCCTACGGCACCTGTGATTGTCTGTACCAGAAACAGATAGAGGAGCTCAGTCACGTGACGGTTTGCGGGCTTGGTACTAGCGCTAAAAGGGTATCGAACATGTGGCAGAGCGTTGCCCTCTTAGCCTCCGGCTGTACCAATTTTTGACTAACGTTGAACACAGCATCTTCTGATTAGTACACTGCGCCCAGGAGCAGCATTGTGGAATTTATTGATGAACGTTCACCCGACCGCTAATGTAACTCATTTGTACCGCTCTGCCTTGGGCCCCGCCCGGGGTCCTGACAGCCGTTACAGCTGGTAGTATAGGGAGACAGTATTACCAGCAAAGACAGCGGAGTAAAGGGTGTGGAATTCCTGTCTCGACTGTGGACAAATTGATCCACCTGTCAGGTGCGTTCTCAGGAAGTACCAAAACCAATGAGGACCTTACCCACCAAATATCAAAAGTCAGCTGAGCCTTCGGCCGGCTGCGAAAATACACCAGAATATGACCCCCACGCCCTTAACACTAGTTTTCTTGCGCTAAGGAGCCTAGGACTAGGAGTCAAAGGTAGGATTAGGGTTAAGTTTGGAGTAAGGTTTTATGCTAGGCTTAGGGTTAGAGCACAGAAATGGGTACACTTTCGGGAATTTACTGCGAGATTTTCTTGTAGCAGCTGTTTGAATGCTTCCTTTCGTCGGCGTCCTGGTCCCCCTAGGTTTGACCTAGCAGATGTTTCAGTGCTCCCTTTCGGCCTAACCGATAGCAACTGCTCCACTATCTGTTATAACCTTGTGTGTTCCTGTGTCAACACTGGTTAGATCCGCCAGTTTCACGTTAGGAAGAGAAGGCTGAACAGGATAGCACATAGTACTTTACTGTCACTTCTACTAGTACATAAGCTCTGTTTCCTGTGTGTCCAGCAGATTGTCTTCTGTGTCCGTCAGCAGCTTGTGTTTTGTCGTCGTCTCGGCCAACTGCGCAGCCGTGTCCCGGGTCGCTAGCAGCAGAATCGCGGGTCGTCGGTAGCGCGTCTCCAGCAACAGAATGCTGCCTTCAGCGGTGGCATCATATGTAAGGGCCAGTAGTTATTGCTCCCTATTGGCTCTCCACGAGTGGCCTATACGGGCGCCAATCATGCCTCCAGTGATCGTATCTTAAGCGTGACCTCCAGATAGCCGCAACCCGGCCGTAAGGCAGTCTCGCTTGCGTGTGCCTCCTTTGTCCTGGCCTAATGTCCGCCCTTTGAAGGTCGCTTGTTACTGCTTGAACCGGTCGCCAGTAAGGTTCCTTTGTTTTGGTACCGTCAGGATTGCCTGAGTGATAACTCGTGCCCGGGCCGTCCAAACAGTATCCCACTTTTATCGGGAATTCTGACTGCCGAGAAAATCCCGCTCACTGGCAACCCCCAGACTTGATCTCTCGGCTTATTAAGTCACGTGTGCAGACAGAGCGCATCTTAAGCGCATAGGCCAGCCTGCCTTGTCACCCATGTTTATGTATCCCTGACTGAACCATTTGTACCTGATCAATCATACTGTCAACACGCACTCCCGTGTGCTGACACGGACAATGAAAAATTCGTAGACAACACTTTGCTGCCTACACGCTTCCAGATGGCCACATTGTTCATACGCACACTAGCAAACAGTCAATGCACGGCAACTTGCCTTGTGTACCCAATAAATCGCTCCCAATATTCGATCGCCTTCTTCCATCACACGGAACCTTCGGTAAAAGTTGTTTAAGAAGTGGACCTCCTGTACCTCTAGTCTCAGCATTTTGTCCTACAGAAACAGTGTTTATAGGGGTTTTGGGGTGGGGAAGTAGGATAGGCAGTG